GAAAGAGAAAAATGATTACTCATCCGGGAGATTCTCACACTGCGTCGCTGGACGAAAGAGAAAACATAAGTGCTCTACCGGACAAGTTCTCACTGCGTCCTCTGTGGGACTGAAGCCGCTGGGCAGAAAGAGGAAACTGGAAAGAGGAAAATTAGTACTCAACCGGGAGATTTTCTCACACTGCGTCGCTGGACGAAAGAGAAAACATAAGTGCTCTACCGGAAGAGTTCTCACTGCATCCGCTGTAGGACCAAAGCCTGCTGGGCAGAAAGAGAAAACAGGAAAGGAAAAAATGGGTACTTGGCCAGGGGATTTTCTCACACTGCGTCGCTGGACGAAAGAGAAAACATAGGCCAATTACTATACCCACGGACGCAGTAAGGTATTGCAGTAATATGAGTGATAAAAAATAAATAAATAAATAAAAAACGTCGATTAAACAACTGAAGCGGTCCGAAAACAAATTATGCGAGTCAAAGGGCACGGCCAACTTCGATTCCGTATCAGAATTCTGGCTCTGTGTCCTCACGTTTGTCTGACTTTCGAGCTGGGAAATCCAAGGAAGGGGGTGTGTTGCTAGGCAACGTCTGTCTTTTTAGTCGGACTCCGACACGCATAAATAATAGAACGCAGCATAAGTACATAGAACATCCACTGGGAGACCAATGCTCGCTGGATGGAAAAAGAGGAGAGATAGATGCATGCAACATCTGCTGGGAGACCATGCTCACTGGATGGAGAAGGAGGAAACATGCATGCTATGTCCGCTGGGAGACCAATGCTCGTTGGACAGAGAAAGAAGAAACCAGAGAAACAGAGCTCCTGCTGGACGAGAGGAAACATCAGTGCTGCGGTAGAGAAAATTGGCTAGAGAAGCAGAGCTTCTGCGGGAGCAGAGGAGAAATCACTGCTGTGGCAGAGGAGAAAATTTAGCAAGAGAAACAGAGCTTCTGTGGAAGCAGAGGAGACATCACTGCTGTGGCAGTGCAGAAAATTAGCCAGAGAAAAAGAGCTTCTGCGGAGCAGAGTAGACATCACTGCTGTGGCAGTGCAGAAAATTAGCCAGAGAAACAGAGCTTCTGCGGAGCAGAGTAGACATCACTGCTGTGGCAGTGCAGAAAATTTAGCAAGAGAAACAGAGCTTCTGTGGAAGCAGAGGAGACATCACTGCTGTGGCAGTGGAGAAAATTAGCAAGAGAGACAGAGCTTCTGTGGAAGCAGAGGAGACATCACTGCTGTGGCAGAGGAGAAAATTAGCAAGAGAGACAGAGCTTCTGTGGAAGCAGAGGAGACATCACTGCTGTGGCAGTGGAGAAAATTACCCAGAGAAAAAGAGCTCCTGTGGAAGCAGAGGAGACAATCACTGCTGTGGCAGTGGAGAAAATTACCCAGAGAAAAAGAGCTCCTGTGGAAGCAGAGGAGACAATCACTGCTGTGGCAGTGGAGAAAATTACCCAGAGAAAAAGAGCTCCTGTGGAAGCAGAGGAGACAATCACTGCTGTGGCAGTGGAGAAAATTAGCAAGAGAGACAGAGCTTCTGTGGAAGCAGAGGAGACATCACTGCTGTGGCAGTGGAGAAAATTACCCAGAGAAAAAGAGCTCCTGTGGAAGCAGAGGAGACATCACTGCTGTGGCAGTGGAGAAAATTACCCAGAGAAAAAGAGCTCCTGTGGAAGCAGAGGAGACAATCACTGCTGTGGCAGTGGAGAAAATTAGCAAGAGAGACAGAGCTTCTGTGGAAGCAGAGGAGACATCACTGCTGTGGCAGTGGAGAAAATTACCCAGAGAAAAAGAGCTCCTGTGGAAGCAGAGGAGACATCACTGCTGTGGCAGTGCAGAAAATTAGCCAGAGAAAAAGAGCTCCTGTGGAAGCAGAGGAGACATCACTGCTGTGGCAGTGGAGAAAATTACCCAGAGAAAAAGAGCTCCTGTGGAAGCAGAGGAGACAATCACTGCTGTGGCAGTGGAGAAAATTACCCAGAGAAAAAGAGCTCCTGTGGAAGCAGAGGAGACAATCACTGCTGTGGCAGTGGAGAAAATTACCCAGAGAAAAAGAGCTCCTGTGGAAGCAGAGGAGACAATCACTGCTGTGGCAGTGGAGAAAATTAGCAAGAGAGACAGAGCTTCTGTGGAAGCAGAGGAGACATCACTGCTGTGGCAGTGGAGAAAATTACCCAGAGAAAAAGAGCTCCTGTGGAAGCAGAGGAGACAATCACTGCTGTGGCAGTGGAGAAAATTAGCAAGAGAGACAGAGCTTCTGTGGAAGCAGAGGAGACAATCACTGCTGTGGCAGTGGAGAAAATTAGCAAGAGAGACAGAGCTTCTGTGGAAGCAGAGGAGACATCACTGCTGTGGCAGTGCAGAAAATTAGCCAGAGAAAAAGAGCTCCTGTGGAAGCAGAGGAGACATCACTGCTGTGGCAGTGGAGAAAATTACCCAGAGAAAAAGAGCTCCTGTGGAAGCAGAGGAAACATCACTGCTGTGGCAGTGGAGAAAATTAGCCAGAAAAACAGAGCTTCTGCGGGAGCAGAGGAGACATCACTGCTGTGGCAGTGGAGAAAATTACCTGGACAAATTGCGAAGATGGCAGTTCGCGTTTGGAACAGTTTAGACGGTCTTGGAAGGTGGATGAGCTTTGTGCAGTGTAGCCTGGAAATCACCTGTATCCAAGTTAATGCCCAAAATTCAAATGGACGTGGCTGAACCCATGGTTTTACCTGTGCAATTGGAATGCCGAACTCAGCAGAACTGTGCGGGGCTGAGGGATCGATAATTAAACATTTTGAAAATGTTCTTATTTCTCTGTTTATTTTCATCATTTTTAATGGGTCATATTATATTCCATGCTGATTTGTTCTGAATCAGAAAACACAATACAATTTAAAATTTAAAAGTTTAAAATTACCTACTTAAAAATAAAAAATACATTTATGCAATAACTAAGTTTCTAAGCGATTTTGTAAATAAATTGCAGGACAGTCAACAAGAGGTTCTTAATGATTCTGTGTGCAATCTGCACGTAATATGAGACCTACTGTTTACATGTGAGTTTACCAGAAGTATTGCGTTAATGAACAGCAGATCCTTTGTACAGAAACTATTTAATACACGTGTTCCACCGGTCAAAATGTGTATCCAGATAGCATGACTTGCTCATGATTCAACAACTGAAGCGATGCGAAGTTCAAATCAGGGACAGAAAACGAAAAGGTTTTGAGCTAAGCACTCACGGAGTTGACCCGGCAGATGTTGAGAGTGTGGACTGGCCGGGACTGAATCTGCAGCGCGGCTTACTTAGGGCCTGTTGCGGCGGCCTGACGGGAAGGCCCGTTCCTTTGCGTTAAGAGGGCAGCATTGCCGTGTCCATTTCTCTATGGCAGGAATTTTAAATGGTCCGGTTTAAAGAAATACGTAGAAGTAGATTGGGAATGTTTCGCCCGCGGTTGCGAGGACCCGTTTGTTTGGCTTGACGCCCATGAGATAATACCAGAGGTTTGCAGCAAAGATTCTTTATCGAACACGAAGCTCGATTCGGACGTGTTAGGAAGGTACTGCGTGCCAAACGCTGCTAAACTGTCAGAGAAATGAGGTGAGACTGCTGAGTCTATATGTACACATTTTAATCATGATTGCTGAGTGCTCTCCACCCGTGTTAATTATCTGAACGTGCTTCTCCCGAACTTTGTTAATGAAACATTTTAATCATGATTGCTGAGTGCTCTCCACCCGTGTTAATTATCTGAACGTGCTTCTCCCGAACTTTGTTAATAAAACATCATTTCATAGCCTTGTCAAAAAGATTTAAATTACTCTCCCTTTTCTCACACTCATGGGTTTTGAGATGTTTCCATGTAACTTACCAAGCAATTTAACCTTAAACTGTTCAACAGAATATAAATACATTAGTCTCAGTGGGAAAGCAATCCTCTTCTACAGCAACATTCACATGGTTCTAATTTGTTCTTCAAAGGGGGATTATTCCTAGTATTGTAATGCTCAGATTTGTAATGTGACTGACTGACAAGTTAACCACATATTTGGATTGACTGACCTTTGTCTCCAAAAATGTCATAAAAGATAGGTAACATGGGCCGATCAGTGAGGTTTTCGCCTTGTGTATACACCTCTTTCACTGTTTTGTGGCCGATTAAAACAAAAATTCTTGGTCCGAGAATTCGAAAGCTTAAAATATTTAGGAATTTTTCTGCAAACTGAAATGTGCGAAATTTAACATATACACAACTTTGAAATAGTTTTAAAAGCCCTAAATACATGATTTCAGATAAAGTACATTTACACATCATCCCAAAGCTGATGAACATTTATATTAGTCGTCGTGTTTTTTCCCTGATAATTTTTTTTTAAATAAAAATACAATTAGGCCTAGATATGACCTTTTCCAAATGAAGATGAATCTTCTTGTGAACGATATGATGAAGGTCTCCTACAATGGGCAAAGTCAATGGTCCAGAAGGAAAGTTTTTCGGTGCTTTATTTCTGAAATAATCACTCAGTATTAAAAACACAAGCGAAAATAAAATATTCTTGATAACGATGATAGATACAAGAGGTGGCCATCTCCAGGATCATGGTGACCTTTGTCAGAATTTGACTGCTTCTTAAAAACAAGACTGCATTCCCAGTAAAGGCTGAAATACACTACACATTTGTGAAAAATCAGAACAGATAAAAAAATAAAACACCAGAGCTGAGGAGGAGTCTAGTCCACAGGCCTTAGAATATATTCATTTTATAATACTAATTTTTACAGTTCAATAATCATTTATTCATTTTTTTATTATATTTCTTATTTTCTTATTGCTTCTTATTGTTGTTTAATCTTTTGATTGACATTTTAAAAAGGTTACCAGCTTTATTTGTCTACATGAAGCTGCAGTTTTATTTGGTTATAGATCATTTTAAACAATCTCAGATGAAGAAACCATATAATTCTACTTTGGGAAATAAATAATAATATGGTGATGTAAAATGTATATCAATCAACGAGGAGTGAAACTTGTTCTAAATGGCTTTGGGGAAAGTGTCATTCCAAATTTAAAGTCCAAGCTTGTTTGAGTTCCCTCTGGAGGAGACAGAGTAAAGGATTGTAGAAAGGATGTGAAGAAGAGAAAGAGCTCCATACGGGCAAGCGATTCTCCTGGACACGATCGTTTTCCTTGAAAGGATGAAATAAAGACAGATATGTTTATACTGTACAGACGGTGGGTTGCTATTGTGAAAAATAAATCTCAAATCAATGAATTAACATGTGTATGCAAAATTGTGAAACATTCTATGTACATCTTATGTATAAACGTTTTTATAAAAAAAAAAAAAAAACCTGCCTACCTATTGAGAAAGGAATAAAGGCTTCAGGTTTTTCAAACTCGCCCAGAGTGTTCAGAAAATTCTGTGGATCAAATGAATGTGGAGTCTTCCACTTGGTCTGATCAAACAGTACTGTGGTCAGGTTAGGAATGATCTGTGTACCCTTAATGTAGAATAAAAAAAAGACAAATTAACATCATCTAAGGACCAACATGAACTATTCCATGATGCATATTAATTAAACAGTCGGATTTGCTAGGTAGGTAGTTAAAATTTTAATGCCTATTCTCTATTAAATGTCTATTCTCATTGGCAAGAACTAACTTAAAAATAAATAAAAAACGGTGTCAATGTTATAAAAGTTTACTTAGTTTTGTCATTCATCTCACCTTTGGAATGAAATATCCTCCCAATATTGTGTCTTCATTAGTCATTCTTGGCACACTAAGGGGCACAACATTGCTCATTCTCTGGACCTCATGGATAACAGCATCAGTGTACGGCATGCTGGGTCGGTCATCTAAGTTGGGTCGGCGCGACTGTCCAATTACTCTTTCTATTTCAGCCTGGACCTTTTCTGAACGTATGAATATATGACATTTGATGCCAAAATTCCATAACATGCATCTAACATATTTAACTAAAGAGGTAAATTATTTTAGTCTAATTAGCACATGATCCTTATCCGTCTTATGATGCGTTTGTATTTGGCATTTTCCCCCAAGCATGGACAAAACTGAATTTACAGTTGACTTGTAATCTGGATCATTTTACCTTGGACTTCTGGGTATTTCATCATGTATACAAAGGCCCACAGTAAAGTGGTAGATGTGGTCTCAGTTCCAGCCACAAACAAATCAAGTACAGCGTATTGCAGGCCCTCTTCATGAAATCCTGCTTCCAGATCATCTTTCCTCTATGAAGAACAGAGACATTACAACCAGCACAGGGTAGACATGACAGATAATGCAAACTCTAACAAAAAAAGTGGAATATTTCTGCACGTTTACCAAATATGCTGTTTGTTAAACACAATAAAGTCATATTTTCATAGTACCTTCTGGATCTCAGCAAGATAGCAGTCTATGAAATCTCTGGGTGAAGAGGGGTCCCAGTCTGCATAATGCTTGTCCACCTCTTCTCTAATAAAAGCACAAACTTGATGGAAGCAGGAAAACAGGTCTTTATGAGGTCCTGGGATGAGGTCCATAAGAGAAGGGAAAACACTGTAAAGCTATAATGGACAAGCAGCAGGTCAACTTGGGTGGGCACCTTTATTTCATTCATTTAGTTTTCAACTAGTGCACTTTATTGCTACATTTAGTGGCAATTCAGAAGTGCCAATGACAGACCCCCATATCTCCACCACATCTTTTCATCTCATCGTCGGAATGATCATTGTAGTACCTGTATCCAGACGGAAGTTTGTAGCTTAAGGGCTTTAGACATCAGTCTAAGCAGGTTCAGAAAACTCTGGTCAGTGTACTCAAACCTCCTGCCAAAAACCATGGAGCAGATGATGTTGGAGACAGCATTGTTAATAAAGTAATGAGGATCGAATGGCAGTCCTAAGAAAATACAACGACAGGTGAAGCTGGTTTCAGGTTTTTTTTTTAACTTTTAAACTTTAGTTTTTAGTGTGTTGCTATGCAAATACTAATTTGTTGCATGCTTGTCAAAAGAGTCCACCTGGAAGTCTCTATGATATTTTAGTACTCCTTAAATCTTGTGTCCTTTACCCTCTAGTATTCCTCACTTAAGGGTCAAACTTGTGAACTTCAGCAGTCACAACAGACCAAAGAAAACATTTTAATCTTAAATGAATGAACTATATTTTGTTTAAATAATATTTATTCTCTAATATTTTGTATTTTGAGGGGGTTTCATGGTACGATACAATATTCACGTCAAAATAATGCAGCATTTTTTCTATAAAAACGAAATAATGACCATAAAGTGCCATAAAGTCACCTTCATCGTACCATTCAAAAATTTAAACCACCAGAGGGCTGTGTGTAATACTCATGGTTAGAGGTTTACAATATAAACGGTTTAGAAATACTTAACAGTGACTTAGTTCATAAATATAAACAATACAAATGTGATGCAAAATTCTGATAATTACAAACATGCCTGGTAAACCTAAATATAAGCCAAGTTATGACTCTTATTATCTCAGCAATGCTGCTACTGTTCTTTACCATCGGTATCCATGATGGTCTTGTGCAGAAATGTGTACTCTTCCATGATGATGAATTCCAGGCTCCTCTTTCCCACACCAAAGTATTTAAGAGTACTAAGAGTGAAACGCCTCTGTTGCTTCCAGCTGTAGCCATTATTGAAGGTTACACCTGTTGACATTACACAATATGAAAGATGTGATATTTAGAGAGAGTTAGAATGTCATTTGATGTCTTCTCCCCAACATTTATGTATACCTTGGCACTTGATTATTTTTTTGAGCACATCACTGGTTGGGCGGCCTGAGAAAATGTTTGCTTGATCAATAAGAGCTTTCTTGACCATGCTGTAGGTATTCACAACAACAGTGTTTAAGTTTCCCAGACGCAAGCTGAAAATGTTGCCATAATGGTCTGACAACTGTGGGGAAACAGTTAATATAATAAACAAAATTGGAAGAATATACAAAATAAAAAGGGTTACAACAAGGCTTAAAATATCAGGCCATATTTGAAATACAGACATTATACAGTCAGACTACGAAATCACAACATTAAGGGGACATAAATTACCTTAGTTAAATGAATATGAGGTTGTGTAGCATCCAGGTGGAATACATTCCCAACAAATGGAAGAGGTGTGGGTCCGGGGGGATAGTTTCTTGGCTTCCTGTTTCTCAGCAGGTCTAAGATCAGAAGAAAAAGGATGAACAACAGTAGCACAGTCCCTGCATCTGTCCAACGCACTGCGGCTAAAGAAAACAAAATGTTCTCCAAAACCATTTTCACGCTTTTATCTCCTTTATGCTGCACTATGAAACGTGATTGCACTGTTTTACGCTTAGTTGTTTACTTCCTGGTTTACTTTCGTTTGTCCTTTCGTACAAAAACATGGTCTGAAATAAACATTCCGAGAGTGCAAACCTGTTCGTGAACGAACGAATCGAAAATTTGATTTAAGAAAAATTAATTACACAGCCACGCACTTTAAAAAAATAAATAAATAAATAAGTCAAATATCTTTTTAGAAGAGTGACTGACACTAGCGCGAGCGAATAGCATTCTAGCGCGAGCTGCAAATGAGCATTTTTACTGGCTCGATCTATTGAACTAACACACGCCCTTTTCACTAATGAGGCTGCAAGCCAAGAGACATGAAATGAATTACTAGCTCGATAGAAGTGAAGTCATGCCTAGAAAGACAAAATAATAATAATAAAAACGATAATAGACAATCTGATGAGGTATATAAAAATTTTATATACCTCATCAGATTGTCTATTATCGTTTTAATTATTATTATTTTGTCTTAATTATTATTATTATTTTGTCTATTTTATAATAAAATACAAGTCAAGACAATGTTATAAATATGCTAATCTGTATCTCATGTTGTTCAGATTCTCTTGGCAATGTGTTCAGAGGAATTAGTTAATTAATAATATCAGTTGCCCAGCTTTCTGGAATCTGGTGGGACTTTTGTAATCTCTCTCCACTCTCAGGGCCGTCCCAGCATCGGCATCGACAGGGTTGTGAAATGGCCGTCTAAAAGGGAGGGGCCTGGTGCGGTCCCACCGGCCACCACCAGTTGCTCGCTTAAACGACGGCCCTGTTTCTAGACTACCAGACTGCTACTGACAACTCCAGTGCTTTCATATTTTCTGACAAAGGGAACGTGCCATTTTTTAACATCATGATCCTGAACTTTATATATCAGTGCTTTGATTTTAAAAGCTGGATCATTTTAAGTTTTGTTTTACTGCTTCTTGCAGATATTATCAAATATAGGAATCCTTCCAGGTTCCCCCCAGGACCCTGGCCTTTACCATTCCTGGGAAATGTCTTCACTGAGATAGATTTTAAGAACATGGATAAGGTAGGAGCAAATTATTTTAAATTAAATGCATAAATGTCGATTAACATTCATTTTAGACGAGATTTCTTTTATAGTCCCCTATTTCTTGATTAAAAGAATGGTGGAGGTTAGCAAGTTGACTGTACTATATATAAGCTACTGTATATATATATATATATATATAATTGTTATTATTATGATACTTTAATTTTTTTAATTTTAGTTGGCTGATGTCTACGGGAAGGTGTTCAGCCTAAGAGTGGGCAGTGATAAAATGATAATCGTGTCTGGATATAAAATGGTAAAGGAGGCCCTCATTACTCAGATTGACAGTTTCGTTGACCGTCCAAATGTCCCACTGTTTCATAAAACATTTAAGGGACTTGGTAAGTACACCGGTCATGACTTTTTTGCTTAAAAAGGCAACACTATAAACTAGTCAATATTCATAACGTTATTTGCTAATAAACAGTACCTGTTTAGTTATTGAAATTCTTTCATTCATTCATATTATGAAGGTACAATACTGAGTAATGGATACCTGTGGCGGATGCATAGGAAGTTTGCTGTCTCCCATTTGCGGACCTTTGGAGAGGGGAAGAAAAGTCTTGAGCTCAGTATCCAACAAGAGTGTGTCTACCTTTGCGATGCGTTTAGGGCAGAAAAGGGTATCATCTGAATTCTAAATGAATTTGGAAGAACTTGCCAAATAATGACATATCCTTATGCATACATATGCATAACTGTGTTTTCTCTCAAATAGCTCCTTTCAACCCCATGGTCACCTTAAACAGTGCTGTTTCAAATATCATCTCGTGCTTGATATTTGGACAACGTTTTGATTATCATGATGAATGTTACCAAAGAATTCTGCGTCTTGACACCGAATGCATTCAGTTAGCAGGCTCTCCTAGAGCACAGGTACTGATTCATGACAGCATCCACACTTTAATATTCTAACTTCCTTTTAATTAATTATAATTTAAAAAAAAAATCATCACCCACTATATTATCTCTTACAGCTGTATAATGTGTGTCCTCGGCTCTTGGAATATTTACCTGGCCCCCACCAGACTATTTTTTCCAACTATAAGAAGATCACAGACTTCCTGAGAGGAGAGATCATCAAACACAGAGAGGACTGGGACCCTTCAAACCCACGTGACTTTATAGACAACTACCTGACTGAGATGGAAAAGGTACAGTAACTAAAATAGGATTTTCTTTTATCATTCTCTTGAAATACTTCGAGTAAAGAGGAAACATTTTTTGCAAGCATTTGTTTTGATATTGCCATTTGATCAGCCTGAGACACTTTTTTAAAAAGAGAGTGCCGTGCCTGTGAAGAACTAATGTGTATGCATATTTTCTTGCACATGTTTTGTGTTGATTCCTACTCTTTCCAGAAAAAGAGTGACCCTGAGGCTGGTTTTAACATAGAAGGGTTAGTGGTGACTTCTCTAGACCTAATTGAAGCCGGGACAGAAACCGCAACTACAACATTGCGCTGGGGTCTGCTTTTTGTTATCAAGTTCCCAGAAATACAAGGTGAGTGTACTTTTCTGATTTTCAGAGCGGGAGTAATTAGCTTGGGAATGCATCAGGTCCAGAAGCTTCCATGAATAAGTTTGTCTGAAAACACACAATATACACTTATATTTCCCATTCAGAAAAGGTCCAGGCAGAGATCGACATGGAGATTGGACAGTCACGTCAACCTTGCTTGGCTGACAGAGATAATATGCCATACACTGATGCTGTTATCCATGAGATTCAAAGATTTGGGAATGTTGTTCCCCTGGGATTCCCTAAACAAGCTGTTAAAGACACAATACTAGGGGGGTACTTCATTCCTAAGGTATTTATTCTATTCTATTCAATTTTGGGGTCTAGTCGTGTCTAGAATGGTAAAGTTTTCATTCTCTCTTTATTAGGGCACCTCTATAACAACAAACCTGTCTTCAGTCCTGCATGATCCAAATGAATGGGAAACCCCAGACACCTTTAACCCAGGACACTTCCTGGATGAAAATGGCCAGTTTCGGAAGAGAGATGCCTTCATACCGTTTTCAGCCGGTAAAATTTTGTAAACACACCACCTGATATGACTTCTCAAAAAGTGATATGCTTGTATTTAGTCCTTTTCATTGACTTTGGGTCAATATTAAATCTATTTTGTCCCTGCTACATTATGAATTTTAACTTCAGCTGATGACATTTGCTTACAGGTAAGAGAGCGTGTTTGGGAGAGCAGCTGGCTCGTCAGGAGCTCTTCTTATACTTCACCTCCCTGCTGCAGCAATTCACCATCTCCAAATGTCCAGGAGAGGAACCCAGTTTGGAGGGCGAGATATGGTTCACATATGCTCCTGCTCCCTTCCGCATTTGTGTGTCCTCACGTTAGAGTGTATATATGTTTCTTATGTCAAATCTTTAAAAAAAAAACTTTTTTACCATTATATATGTTTGAATGCATTGATGAATAGAAAAGCAATGTATCAAATAATACTCTATTTTTCATATTTGCATTATGACTTCAGGACAGGTTCGTTTTATTTATTTAATATTTCAAATTTCTTTATTAGTTTTTCTGCTTGGAACATCAAGTCAACAGATAATAACACTGAATTTATGAAATTATCATTCCACATGGTTAATACCCCAATAAGACCCTCCCTCAAAAAAATAACCTACAGCTTCCAATAAGAAGAAAAAAAACAACAACAACACAATATTGATATCTTAAACAAAGCATTTTGCATTTTTTGGGGGGGTGCTCAGCTTAAGTGTCTTGAGAGTTAGCCAGTAAATAATCTAAAAAGGGGCACCACAGTTTATCAAAGGTCCTTAAAGAACCAGTCTGTGACAGTCTGATCTTTTCCAATTTAATGCAAGTGAACACTTCTTTCAGCCATGTATCAAAAGAAGGGGGTGAGGCATGTTTCCACTTCAAAAGTATGAGACGGTCTGGCTAGTAAAGTAGTAAAGGCTAGAGCCTTTTGAACCGTTACTGAAAGGTTAACGTCAACGGTCATCCCAAAAATGGCCAGAAGTGGATTTGTCAGGTTCGGTTTTTGAGTGTTTTCCCACCCTGATTATTTTCCAAGCACAGCCTACATATGCTATACGTATTTGAACAAGAAACAACGAAGTATGTTTACAAGTATCTTTTATGGTAGAATATCTACTCAGTTGCATGATAATTATATAAATGCTACATACTCAAGAAAAAGACTTTATTCAGTGTAGAATTTTAACACGAGCATATATTGAATTAAAAAAACTTTTTAGTGTAACCCCCCCCCACCGACGCACCTCTATCTACCAACATGTAAGTTATTATTTGTTACTAATAACGGTTACCAACATATTACCAATGTAATATCTTACCAATATATTCACAATGTTTTAATGCAAATAGCTATTTGTTCTGATCATGGTTCTGATGTATAAATGTATGTAATAGATCAACATATCTATCTTGTATTAATAAAAAAGTATAGCCACCTGTGTTAATGATTTAGTGTTATTTTGATGTTTATATATATATCACATGTTTATATCACAACTAGCATTTCTCATTTGCAAACCATTGTCACAAATATCTCTGCTACATGCAGAACAGATAGACAGAGAGATAGGCAGGCCCACTGGGCCCAGACTGGCTCATAAGTATGCACATGCATGTGACCAGTTTCAGGTTAATAATTGTTCAGATTTACCATTGAATTCTGCAATGAACATGTGATGATTGTGCAAGCTAAAATGTACCAAAGAATATGAAAGAGTGGGAAAAGATAAAGAATAGCCAAATTATATTACTATGCATGTGCAATTATATGTACAGAAAAAAACATTTACATACAAGGTATATAATATGTACAGTATATATATATATATATATATATTGCCCGTGTGTTTATATTATCTCATGTTCATACCTTTACATTTTTAACTTTTACTCTTGATAAATTTGTGATCATAGGGGTCTCATTATCCTTCCTGGAATCTGGAGTGTCCCTCCAGATGTTGTGTAATATCCCTCTCCTCCCCTCCAGTGTTTACATTTCCCAGTCCTGTACATAAGTACTTTACAGATCACAGATTTCAAACAAGACAAAGGGAACCTGCCATTTCCCCTACCACCATGTTCTTACACTTCTTATTTGACATCTTTGATTTTAAAAGCTGGATCATTTTATTTTTTGTATTTCTGCTCATTGCTGATATTATCAAAAATAAGAATCCTTCCAATTTCCCCCCAGGACCTTGGCCTCTGCCATTCCTGGGAACTGTCTTCACTAAGATGGATTTTAGGACCATGCATAAGGTAGGAGCTAAATTCATATGTTTTTAATTTGCATGTCATTCAATTTACATTTGTTTTTAGCGTTGATTTCATTTATTTTCTTGTTTCTGTACTTTAAAATGTTTAGACTACATTAATATTCCTGGGGCCGTATTCACAAAAAATCTTAAGGCTAAAAGTAGCTCCTAACTTGCCTATTTAGGAGAAAGTCTTAAAATGAATGGCCGTGTTGTTCCTAATTTTAGCACTCCTAAATTTTTGCTCTAAGAGTATTTCACAAAGCATTTTAGTTAGGAGTAGTCAAGAGGACTCCTAAGACCAAATTACAAACAATCTTAAAATGGCTGTTGCCTCAGCAAGCCGCCCAAACCGGACACTGTACACCATTGAGGCAATAGGTGATAGAGCCTATAATTATTTTATTTTATTTTTTTAATTTTAGTTGGCTGATGTCTACGGGAAGGTGTTCAGCCTAAGAGTGGGCAGTGATAAAATGATAATCGTGTCTGGATATAAAACGGTAAAGGAGGCCCTCATTACTCAGATTGACAGTTTCGTTGACCGTCCAAATGTCCCACTGTTTCATAAAACTTTTAAAGGACTTGGTAAGTAAACTGACTATAATGCTTAAAACTAAACCAATTTTTATTCTGAAATGGACTTGGTGATTTCTTAATGATAATCCAACTTTCATCTTTACATGTCATTATGTAGGTTTAACAATGAGTAATGGATACCTGTGGCGGATGCATAGGAAGTTTGCTGCCTTCCATTTGCGGACTTTCGGAGAGGGGAAGAAAGTCCTTGAGCTCAGCATCCAGCAAGAGTGTGTCTACCTTTGTGATGCTTTTAAGGCAGAAAAAGGTAGACTAAATGTAATCAACTGGAGAATTTTTATTCATTGGGGCAAATAAGGATGAAAACAATTTTCCAATTTGATAAATATTCATGCTTTCTCCCAAACAGGACCTTTCAACCCTATGGCCACCTTAAACAGTGCTGTCTCAAATATCGTTGCCTGTTTGACATTTGGACAACGGTTTGACTATCATGATGAATGTTACCAAAGAATTCTGCGTCTTGACAATGAATGTGTTCAGTTAGCAGGCTCTTTTAGAGCACAGGTACTGATTCATGACAGCATCTTTAGACACTACTTTAATATTCTAACTTCCTAGTTAATTATAATTAAAAAATCTATTTTCATCACCCACTATATCATCTCTTACAGCTGTATAATGTGTGTCCTCGGCTCTTGGAATATTTACCTGGCCCCCACCAGACCATTTTTTCCAACTATAAGAAGATCACAGACTTCCTGAGAGGAGAGATCATCAAACACAGAGAGGACTGGGACCCTTCAAACCCACGTGACTTTATAGACAACTACCTGGTCGAGATGGAAAGGGTAACTAAAGTGGGATTTTTTTTAATTAAAAGTTTGAAAAATTCAATACTCCCACCCGTTTGAATAATTCAATACTCTACCCCCCTCCCCCCCATCAAGAAAAAGAGTGATCCTGAGGCTGGTTTTAACATAGAAGGGTTAGTGATATCATGCCTAGACGTGATTGAGGCCGGGACAGAGACCTCTGCTACTACATTACGCTGGGGTCTACTTTTTATGATCAAATTTCCAGAAATACAGGGTTAGTGTGGTTTCAGTTTTTATTTACTGGTTACAGAATATTGTACATAAATGTCCCCACTTGTCCCAACTTGTATTTCCCATTCAGAAAAAGTCCAGGCAGAGATCGACAGGGAGATTGGACAGTCACGTCAACTTTGCTTGGCTGACAGAGTTAATATGCCATACACTGATGCTGTTATCCATGAGATTCAAAGATTCGGGGATATTGTTCCACTGGGATTCCCTAAACAAGTTGCTAAAGACACAACACTAGGGGGGTACTTCATTCCTAAGGTATTTATTCTATTCTATTCTATTCTTGGTTGAAATATAGATACTAGATAGGTATTTTAATAGAAAACAATCTAATGTTGGCATAAAATTCTTAAGACAACCAGTCATTGTTTCTGTACTGGATGCTGCATAAATGCAATAGTTTTCATTCTGTCTTTATTAGGGCACCTCTATGACAACAAACATGTCTTCAGTCCTGCATGATCCAAATGAATGGGAAACCCCAGACACCTTTAACCCAGGACACTTCCTGGATGAAAATGGCCAGTTTCGGAAGAGAGATGCCTTCATACCGTTTTCAGCCGGTAATATTTTGTAAACACACCACCTGATATGACTTCTCAAAAAGTGATCTGTATTTATTTCTTTAACTTCTGGTATTAAAGAGGAAGACAAGCACACACTAATTAAACTTGATGTATCTATATTGAAGTGAATTAAGAGGGCAATATGCTTTTATAAACTAACCGATGTTATGATGTATAATTTAGTAGCCAAAGTAGTTTTTCTGGCACAATGAATGAATGAACTCTCAAGCTGTTATGCAACAAACACAATACATTTACAGAGCCAAGTCCAAAATATAGTGAATAAGGAATCGAATTGGTCAGTTATTTTTGTTTGACGTTACAACGCTTAATGTGAGAGAGGACGTTTAGGATGAACTGATTCATTAGGATGAACGCTCAAGTCTTACAATGGTACATACAGTGAGAGTTGAGCGTTTTAGTGAGCAATTGTCAGACATTAAAACAGTGTTTGTGCTTATCGTTATAATTGTATACTCATCAAAGCTTGTTGCTGGAAAAGCTGCAGTAACAGTCACGCTAGTGACCATAGTGAAAATTTGTCCTAGGTTAGTAGTGATGTCATACTTCGGTAACACTTTAGATTACAGCCTGGAAAGTACTGTGTAATTAAGAGGAATTTACAGAGTAACTTTCAGTAATTATAGTGTACCTATAAAGTACTTGCATGTAAGTATAAGGGAACAATATGTAAAGTTTGGGGAATAAAGGGGTAACAACCAGGAGAATTAAAAAAATATTTATACTGTAAGTATTATAGAACTAAGGGTAACTTATTCTACTATTATGGTACAACAATCTTACATTTGGGAGCAATTTAGCGAGAACATACACATTGCTTACCTTTTTGTAATAATTGTATACCAATACATACTGTATAGGCTTTTTTTAAATTACAAGGTACATATCTATGCATTTATACTTTTATTTATTTATTTTATGATAGTAAAAGTGCAGATGTTTAAGTTGGGCTAACATGTTTCAAGGCAAGAAAAGCTAAGACTATTGCGATTTTTTTTAAATACTGGGAAATATGTCTTGTTTCATGTGGTTACAGGGTAAGCGGTGCTTCTATAATAAATAAAGGTTTCCGAGTCAGTGATATAAGATTGTGTGTATACATTTTTATTGTTACCCTGTAACTACATGGAACAAGGGGGTAAAAAGCACCACTTTAATTTACAGCCCGCAATGTCACACTTACCCTGTAACTACATCGAACAAGGGGGTAACAAGCTACATGAAACAAGAGTATCTTTCCACAATATTTAAGCAAAAGTTGCAATAGTGTTCGTTTTCAGTGCAATTTTGTTAAAAAGATTACATTTTAAAAATTACAGAGTACATCTATGCATTTATAAAGTATACTGTACTGGTTCACCATTATTTCAAAAAGGTACGCAGTATATGTTCTTGCTAAATTGATCCCAAATGTAAGATTGTTATATCATAATAGTAGAATAAGTTACCCTTAATACTTACAGTATAAATATTTTTTTAATTCTCCTGGTTGTTACCCCTTTATTCCCCAAACTTAAAATATTGTTCTCTTATACTTATATTGTAAGTACAATATAGGTACACTATAATTACCGAAGGTTACGCTGTAAAATTGCTTTAATTACGCAGTACTTTCCGGGCTGTAATCTAAAGCGTTACCCATACTTCTAGTTAGTTTTCTTGTCAATGCTACAATATGAAGTGTAATTTTCCCGTATGGCATTTGCTTACAGGTAAGAGAGTGTGTTTGGGAGAGCAGCTGGCTCGTAATGTGCTCTTCCTGTTCTTCGCCTCCCTGCTGCAGCAATTCACCATCTCCAAATGTCCAGGAGAGGAACCCAGTTTGGAGGGCGAGATATGGTTCACATATGCTCCTGCTCCCTTCCGCATTTGTGTGTCCTCGCGTTAGAACAAAACAAACATAAAGGATGTTTTCTGATATGTGTTTCTGGCTGAACATCAACCGTAACTACACCACAAGTTATAGTTTATGTTACCATAATCTTCACATTTTTCAAAATGCATTTTCATTATAATCTTCATCATTACAAGAGCTAGAATTCCTGTAGAGCAAACAAGAGCATAGCACTAGCAATGCCAAGGTCATGGGTTCAATTCCCAGGGAATGTATGAACTGATAAAGTGTATAAACCTTAAATCTGAAAGATCTTCCCTTCATGCTGTGGAAATACAAACCGGAAGACAGAACACAACAAGCGCAGCAATGAAAAGGGGCGGGGCTACATTAATCGCTTTAGATAAAAGCATCTGCCAAATACATAAATGTCAACTGTTGTATTGTAGCCTTGTTTTTTTATGTATACATGTTCATGTATCCATATGTGTCTTAATGCACTTTGTAAATGATTTACTGAAGTGCTATTTGTCATGGAAATAAATTACACCTGAGTTTAACGTTTGTCACATAAAAATATATCTCTGTTTCATACAAAAAGATATAGATGAATAGAATTGTTGCACACAAAAAAATATTCTTTTAGTTACTTTAACTATAACCCAGTGAAGGAATCTTTCAGTCACAGACTCATTACTAAACAACAGCTGAGGTATTACGTAACATTGGGGCCCCAGACCCATGAGAGGCCTCTTCCTCTTGAACCCTGAAACATTTTGAGTGTACAGACTGCACATAGCAGGGACAAACTCCATTTTAGATTCAGTGTGTGTGCTTGTTTATTTAGGTCGGATAAATGTCCCTCTCTAGTGTGCAGGAGGTCCACATTCTTTTGTCCCATGCATTTTAATGGGGTTGTTTGTTCAATCAACTGAATTTAATGGATTGTATTAATTTTATGCAATGTTAAAAAAGTGTGATAAGTAAAGTTTACATTTAAAAACCTCTTAGATTTTGAAAATGGAGCAGCACATATTAGGCCTACAGTACATCTCACAACGTTTCTGCAGAGAATAAGAGGGAAAGAGCAAAACAAGGGTGTCTTATTACCTCTCCCAACCCTCTCGACTACTTAATCGTTCAGAAACAAAGGCTCCAGATGCAAGTACTCATGAGCATTCATATGGTACATTACACATATTATGTTTTAGTTGTAATTTTATGTAAATAAACTGCTATTATGCATCAAGAACCATTCTGTCAAACTAAAACACTAACACTGTAACGATTGCACAGATGCTCATATCTGCTGTCAGCATGCATGTGTGGCTTATCTCTTCAGTCTGTAGTTCAACTGTATAATTCAGTCATTATTCATGACTTGTTCCTGGTAAAGATTCTTTTGGAATGCAGAGTACTAGTTCATACAGAGGTTGGATTGGGGGTGTGTTATTGTTGGAAACTATAGTATAAACTTAGGCATTCAATACACAACATAGTTACATAATGGCACTCAAACTGTTCGTATGCCCCCTTGCTGCTGACTGAGACCCACGTTAACTTTTTTTTCCAGATAAAAAGTGCATGTGAACTCTCTCTCTCTCTCTCTCTCTCTCTCTCTCTCTCTCACACACACACACACACACACACACACACACCCTTTTACAACACTCAGGCTGAAATAAGTTTACTTCAGAAGAGTTTGCTGTCCATGAACTCAGCCATGATTTTACACTCCTTATACGAGAGCCTAGATTTTAAAATCAGCTTGTTTTTTATTTGTTTACTGCTGCTGCTTATAGATATGATCAGAAATAAAAATCCAGCTAATTTTCCACCAGGACCCTGGCCAATACCCATCCTAGGAAATGTCTTCACTGATGTTAACTATAAAACTGTGGACCAGGTGAGGCACTCTTGGATTAAGACACTGAAATAATTGAATAACATTTAGATTTAATAATGTAATAATAAATGTAATATATGATATATATATATAGTTAAACTATATTTAAATATTATTTTTTTTAAAACCAAGTAAATACAGATTGCCATGATATTTGTATTTTCACATGTGCTACTTGTTTAAAGTAATCCAATTACTTTTCCAGCTAATTGAGAAGTATGGGAACATCTTCAGCCTCAGAAATGGATATGATAAAATTGTGTATGTGTCTGGGTTTAAAACAGTTAAGGAGGTTTTGATCACTCAAGGGGAAAACTTCATCGACCGCCCTATTTCACCTTTATTTGACACACTTTATAAAGGCAGAGGTAGGTGTATGCATCTATTCTTAGTAATCTAACAATACCAATAAGCAGACCAATGGTTTTTTTTTAAAGAAAGGAAACACAAAGTGCCTGTTTATAATACAGGTCCTTCTCAAAAAATTAGCATATTGTGATAAAGTTAATTATTTTCCATAATGTAATGATAAAAATTAAACTTTCATATATTTTAGATTCATTGCACACCAACTGAAATATTGCAGGTCTTTTATTGTTTTAATACAGATGATTTTGGCATACAGCTCATGAAAACCCCATATTCCTGTCTCAAAAAATTAGCATATTTCATCCGACCAATAAAAGAAGTGTTTTTAATACAAAAAAAAAAAAAGTCAACCTTCAAATAATTATGTTCAGTTATGCACTCAATAGTCAATACTTGGTCGGGAATCCTTTTGCAGAAATGACTGCTTCAATGCGGCGTGGCATGGAGGCAATCAGCCTGTGGCACTGCTGAGGTGTTATGGAGGCCCAGGATGCTTCGATAGCGGCCTTAAGCTCATCCAGAGTGTTGGGTCTTGCGTCTCTCAACTTTCTCTTCACAATATCCCACAGATTCTCTATGGGGTTCAGGTCAGGAGAGTTGGCAGGCCAATTGAGCACAGTAATACCATGGTCAGTAAACCATTTACCAGTGGTTTTGGCACTGTGAGCAGGTGCCAGGTCGTGCTGAAAAATGAAATCTTCATCTCCATAAAGCTTTTCAGCAGATGGAAGCATGAAGTGCTCCAAAATCTCCTGATAGCTAGCTGCATTGACCCTGCCCTTGATAAAACACAGTGCACCAACACCAGCAGCTGACATGGCACCCCAGACCATCACTGACTGTGGGTACTTGACACTGGACTTCAGGCATTTTGGCATTTCCTTCTCCCCAGTCTTCCTCCAGACTCTGACACCTTGATTTCCGAATGACATGCAAAACTGAGCAACAGTCCAGTGCTGCTTCTCTGTAGCCCAGGTCAGGCGCTTCTGCCGCTGTTTCTGGTTCAAAAGTGGCTTGACCTGGGGAATGCGGCACCTGTAGCCCATTTCCTGCACACGCCTGTGCACGGTGGCTCTGGATGTTTCTACTCCAGACTCAGTCCACTGCTTCCGCAGGTCCCCCAAGGTCTGGAATCAGTCCTTCTCCACAATCTTCCTCAGGGTCCGGTCACCTCTTCTCGTTGCGCAGCGTTTTTTGCCACACTTTTTCCTTCCCACAGACTTCCCACTGAGGTGCCTTGATACAGCACTCTGGGAACAGCCTATTTGTTCAGAAATTTCTTTCTGTGTCTTACCCTCTTGCTTGAGGGTGTCAATGATGGCCTTCTGGACAGCAGTCAGGTCGGCAGTCTTACCCATGCTTGCGGTTTTGAGTAATGAAACAGGCTGGGAGTTTTTAAAAACCTCAGGAATCTTTTGCAGGTGTTTAGAGTTAATTAGTTGATTCAGATGATTAGGTTAATAGCTCGTTTAGAGACCCTTTTCATGATATGCTAATTTTTTGAGACAGGAATTTTGGGTTTTCATGAGCTGTATGCCAAAATCATCAGTATTAAAACAATAAAAGACCTGAAATATTTCAGTTGGTGTGCAATGAATCTAAAATATACGAAAGTTTAATTTTTATCATTACATTATGGAAAATAATGAACTTTATCACAATATGCTATTTTTTTGAGAAGGACCTGTACATCTGCAGTATATATGGAATCAAAGTAGCAATATAGATGATTATTGTCATTCAAGTTATACCGTTTTTATTGCAGATTAGCAAAGTGTTTTTGTTTGAAAACTAGCTTGTACACCAGGCCTAAACACAATTTCCCTCTATTGTCTTTGACGCTGACTCCTGACTGAGAAAGGGATCTCCTTTAACAATGGCTACTCATGGAGGAAACAACAGCAGTGTGCCATGAGTCACCTGAAAAACTTTGGAGAGGGGAGGAAGACTCTAGAAGAACATATTCAACGAGAGTGCTACTTCCTGTGTGGAGCCTTTAAAGAAGAGCAGGGTAAGTGCTCATATACACTCTTAAATATAAAGGTCATTTATTGGCATCCTGGTTTCATGAAGAACCTTTAACATCCATGGAATTTTACCATTGCACAAAAGATGGAAAAAGGTTATTTTGACTATTAAAATGTTGTTGTTTTTTACGCTAAGAAAAACATGGTTCTTCTAATAACTGTCCACCTAAAGGTTCTTTGGGGAATCCTAAATTGTATGGCATCACTATACTGTAAATACCCCTTCTGGAACCTTTATTTTTAATATGTAGAATAACAGTTTTCAGGGCAATTAGAGTTGCACTGACATGCATTTCATTTATTAAGAACAAAAATTAGCTCAGGTAAGATAGTAACTTTCAAACCATGGGCCTTGCATATAAAAAGTGAAATTTTACAGAAGTTACCAAAATATTCAATAAATATGTATCATTCTATCAATGTCTTTACTCTGACACACAGGCTGCCCCTTTGACCCCCTGGTTAAAATAAACAATGCAGTGGCCAATGTTATCGGTAACCTGGTGTTCGGCCATCGATATGAGTATGATGATGTTGATTTCCAGAAGCGTCTACAAATGAGTGCAGAGTCAGTGTTTCTTACAGGATCTGTGTGGAACCAGGTAGAGTCTGTTGAAAATACAGCTTATCTATAAAAAAATACAACTTTTTGATACTGTATGCATTTAAATGAGCACTTAAAGCATATTAAAACAATCATATTTAGGGAAATATTTTGTTAAAATATAGGGGTACAAAACATCAAAGCTTAAAATACAACATCACCATGGATGTTAATTACTCATCATTTTAACAAGATGTCATGTTTTTCTTTAGCTGTATGATGCCTTCCCGGGTATAATGAAGTGGTTGCCAGGACCTCATCAGACAATAATCTCAAACTATCAGGAGTTATCAAACTTCCTGAAAGAAAAGGTCGAGCAACACAGACCAGACTGGGACAGCGACAATCCTAGAGATTATATTGATACCTACCTGACAGAAACTGAGAAGGTTTGTTCTGCAGTAATGGGTGATGTACCCATTATGTTCTTGAATCAATTTCATTGCTAAGCAAATCACTGCTTATTCATGTTCTTGTGCTTCATTTGTGCCATAGAGGAAGAATGACAGCGAGGCAGGGTTTAATATTGGCAGTCTGGTGTGGAGCATGGTGGACTTGTTTGAGGGTGGAACTGAAACAACAACCAACACACTCCGATGGGTTCTGCTTTTCCTGATCAAGTACCCTGACATTCAAAGTACAATAATATAATATTCTTAACATGAACAGTAATAATGGACAGAAACAGCCTTGCTACTTGATGTGCATTGTTATTTCTCAATAATGTTCTTAAAATGTTTCCTTAACTAGAGAAGGTCAGAGCAGAGATCGAGCAGGTGATTGGCTCCCGTCCACCTACTATGTCTGATAAGCCAAACATGCCTTACACCAACGCTTTCATTCATGAGGTTCTCAGGAAAGCAAAACTTGTGCCTCTTAATATTGCTAGAATTGCGGGAAAGGACACAACTCTTGGTGGCTACTTGATACCAAAGGTAAAAGCAGATTATTGTGTTATTTTTAATGTTTAAATATTTATATACTATATCTTTAACCTTTATGTACTGAATTAAGGGGACTGTGGTGATCACTAATCTGACATCAGTGCTGTATGACAAACATGAATGGGAAACACCAGACACCTTTAAACCTGGACACTTTCTAGACTCCGAGGGCCAGTTCTGCAAAAGAAATGCCTTTTTCGCCTTCTCAGCAGGTACGGTTCATCGGTTTCTGCTGTATCTTAGTCAAACGCAACTGTCTTTTAAAACATATTTTTGGACTGCAAAAAATGTAACAAGACTGTAAAAAGTGTAATTCAGCCATGTAACCTTGATGCATTAATTCACATGTGATAAACATTAACAGGCAAAAGGCGGTGTCCAGGAGAGTACCTAGCACACATGGAGCTGTTCATCTTCCTCACTGTCCTCCTTCAGACCTTCAGTTTCAGCCCTCCTTCTGGTGAGGAGCCCAGTCTGGAGAGCCAGGTGGGCTTCACACAAGCACCTCTGCCATACAAGCTCTGCGCTCACACGAAATGAAGGAGTGGGGATGGAGTGTATGCAGTATGGCAACTTATCTGCAAGAAATATCACCCACAGCTTCCTTTTATTTATGGTTACACTCTGGGACTTTTACACGTATAAACTAATGGAATGTACAAGGTCATTTAAAGTATAGTATGATGCCTAAAACCAATTATAATCTGCATAAATGCAAGAAATGTGCTCCGGCCTTAAAAACTTACCTCCAGTCTACACATGTAAAGAATTGGTTCTGACCGAAAACAGCCACATTTGGTCAAATCTTTACTTTACGCATTATTAATTTCTCTCCTACATATTTTAAATCAATATGAATATGTGCTTGCCATCCTTCTCATTACTTATGCATCTCATTAAATTTTTATATAAAATAATTAATACTTTTATTCAGTAAGGATGCATTATATTTAGCTTACCCAACTACCTGTATTGAAGTACTGAGGCGGTGTGTATCTTTGTGATTTTGCTATACTTTTATCTTCTTCTCAAGCCTAGACATGTAACCTTTGCCTGAGTGACCATTAGTGTACTTTATTGATTGATTTACAAGCAATAAAACATTAATTCAATCTATGGAACGTGCTGAGTCATTGGGCTTATCAGGTTATACTGATCTCGTCCCTCATTCAAATAAGCCTATACAAGGTTTCTGAAAACCAGTAAAGCTATTATAAAAACTATAAATTCACCTTTATACATATTGAGTATCTGTAAAATAAAGAGCAATGAACATGAGCTCCTAAATTTACTGTCAAAACCATCATGTGTTTTACACTGACAACTTGTGTCCCCTCTTTACACTGGATAAACAAAAAGAGCAAATAGCACTGGATGAATGTGTGCGTGTGGGGAGGACTCAATCATCAGCACTATATGGCAAAAGTCAACCTTGGTTAAAAATGAACCTGCAAGGCATACAGTCCAACAGTCCACCTCATTGGTAGTCTCATTCATGCTGCAGATAATAACTCAATCTGAGGATGTATGAACATATAGCCGACATACATTTGACCTTCACACATCTCTCGCAACAGGTGTGGTGTAATCCATCAAGATCTTGTGTAACTTTGAGTCCGGTCTTTGTTCAAAACATTACAGCTATTGAGCCAAATGTCAGGGGAGTGGTAGGCTGAACAGATGGACAAAGACTGCCTGTTCAACATATTCCGCTAACCTCACATTTGACTTCTTTGCCTGCCATGGCGTTAACAGCGATTCTCGAGTATCTTGATTTTAAGGGACTATTGCTCTTCGTAGTGGCTTTTCTTTTGGTGGCAGACTACTTGAAGAACAGAAACCCACCGAATTACCCACCAAGCCCTTTCTCTCTTCCACTCCTAGGAAACGTCTTCAACGTTGACTCTAAAGAGCCACATATATATCTGACAAAGGTGAGCAGACAATTGCCACTTCTGGGTTGATAGCACAGGAAAAAGTGTTTATTATATTTAGAAAAGCATAACAAATTGTTTATTGATACTTTGCATTATGGACTAATGCCTGTATGAAGAGATTATTTGACAGTGGATATGTTTACTGATAGTAGATAAGCAATTATTAAGAAAATATAAAAATTAACCCACGCAAACAAGCCTCAGCAACATGCAAAACTCAAATTAAGTGTACATAAAATAAATGGATTTATAAAAAAAGGTGTAATTCTATAATCCTATAACACTGATTAATATGGTTCATGTCTTCTAGCCCATGCTTGCAGTTTGCTGAAAAAAACCTTTTATGAACCAAATGATTTGCATTAGTTCCAGTCACATGCCTCAAGCTTCTGAAACATTGTTTTACTTACAGCTAGGCCATGCCTACAACAATATCTTCAGTCTGCGATTAGGGAGAGACAAAGTGGTCTTCATTACTGGTTATAAAATGGCGAAGGAGGCCCTGGTGACTCAAGCTGAAAACTTTGTGGACCGGCCCTACAGTCCAGTGCTAAAACGAGTCTATTCGGGCAATGGTAGGTTAAATGGCTGTGACCTATCACAAGAGTTCAGGAAAAAGCATTGTTGATTGTTATATTGGACAACTCTTGTTGTTGTCTTGTAAAAGAAAAAGTGACATTCCTTAAAATTGTGAAACCCAAAAAGTTACATAATTTGGAACCATTTTGTATTAAATCTTCCCCCTAAATTGTAGGATTGCCTGCATTCATTAAGCTCAACCACTCAACCCTGTTACTCATATAATTAAAAATGTTCTTTAATTTATAGGAAACAAAAGCTTTGCAATAACTAAAACCCAACATATGATCCCAAACTCCTAAATTTGAACCCCTGTAACCCATTCTAGTGTAATTATTTAGTTTAATTTGATAATTTTGTCTATTTAATTATTTTGATGTTATTCAATGTTTATTTATATTATTAAAATTAGTATTTTAAACAGTTTCTAAACATGTCCCAAAGCTTGGTAACAGGGTAGAAAAAAAAACGATCATAAAGTCTCACACAAAATGAATAGAAAACAACACAGCCTAAACAATATTTAGACCGACCCCCAGGGCTGACAATCAATAATTTTCAATTTTGGAATATAATTAAATGTTGATTATTCGCGTTCCTACAGCTGGACTCTTCTTCAGTAATGGCGAGATGTGGAAGAAGCAACGACGTTTTGCTCTGTCAACGCTGAGGAACTTTGGTTTGGGAAAGAAAACAATGGAGCTGGCCATCTGCGAAGAGAGCCGCTTCCTGCTGGACGAGATGGACAGACAGAAAGGTACACAAACCTAATTTGCATGCATACGAATGTAAACAAAGGAATAAAGGATGGTATACTATGGCGAGTACAAGTTTGCATATCAGCATCTGTTCAAGGTAAATAATGAGAACTCATTTTATTTTTGTTATTCTCAGGAGCTGCCTTTGACCCAACAATCCTGTTCAACAATGCTGTTTCCAATATCATCTGCCAAATGGTGTTCGGTCAGAGATTTGATTATACTGACCACCAGTTCAGGACAATGCTAAAATATATTTCTAAAAGCATTCAATTAGAGGGCTCCATTTGGGGGCAGGTAAATTAATCATTTTTCTTTCTGATGATTGTCCTTTATGTATGGAAGCTCGTTTCTCTCTATTCAGACTTTTTTTCTCACAATTCCGAATTTATATCTCACAATTTTGACTTTTTTCATGCAATTTTGAGTTTAGATATAAATTCTATGGAGGCCCTAAAGGGACATGGTCATGTAAAAAATATGAGATGGGAGGGGAACAACATTTCTAAGGTTTTTTTTCTTCAAAGTTTTGCCAGTTTTCTTTGCGGGGGAATGCAAAAAATGGAGAGGGAACAGAGGTTTTGCGTGCGAATGTAACGTTTCTAATGAAAAAGCTAAACTTTCCATCACTATGTCCCTTTAGGGTCTCAGTAAAATTTTGAATTGCATGTAAAGTCAGAATAAAATAATTCAGAATTGTGAGTTATAAAGTCAGAATTTTGATATAAACTTTATATCTCGTGTTTATTTCTCACAATCCTGACTTTTTCTCAGAATTCAGAACCGTTTTTTAAATTTAATTTACTGTTTTTATTATAATTTTTTAATTTTACTACTTTATCCTAAAATTTGTCCTTTTTCTAATCTTTAGTCAAAGTGTCCAAGAAGACCCTAAAAACCAACAAAATGGCCTTTGATAAATCTATCCATCCATCGATCTTTAATTGTGGTCATGCAGCACTAGTGCAGACCCATGATAAAACATTTTTTCTTTCTTTCAGCTCTATGAAGCATTTCCAGGCATTATGAAGCACCTTCCAGGGAAGCACAATGACATGTTCAGTAACTACAAACTATTATATGCCTTCGTAAGAGAGGTTGTTATCAAACACAAGGCCGAACTAGACCCCTCGGAACCTCGGGACTACATCGACAGCTTCCTTATAGAGATGATGGAGGTAATACAACTATTAAAACGACAGGATGACTACAAACTAGCCTGTTTAACTTGAATGTATTTGTATGAATACAACAACTTATTTTACTTCTTCCATCACTGAGCAGAAGCCACATGAAACAGCAGACGGTTTTGATGAACAGAACCTCGTTCCATGTGTTCTAGACCTGTTTCTGGCCGGGACTGAAACTACATCCACCACACTATGTTGGGGTCTCATATACCTCATCACTTACCCAGAAGTACAAGGTAAAAAAAAAATCCATTCTTTAAACAATCTATTCAGTAATAATACATACAGAACTGACATTTGAATATATGGTGTTATTTGTAGAAAAGGTCCAGGAGGAGATAGACAGAGTGATTGGACGCTCACGGGAGCCTAGTATAGCCGATAAGGCCAACATGCCCTTCACTGAAGCTGTCATCCATGAGATTCTGAGATTTGGAGATACTGTACCAATGAATGGCTTACGAGTGGCTAATAAAGACACAACCCTTGGAGAGTGCTTCATCCCAAAGGTGAGTGATATTTTATACCTTCTTTTTGAAAATATTATTATATCATTATCACACAGAGTGTAATGTGGCTATTTAACAATGTTTCACTTTGAAATGTCAATTTTATCATTTGTCAAACTCAAAACATGAAGTCCGACTCTTTCTGATTCATTGTTTCAACCAGGGTACAGCAATTTTACCCATACTGCACTCTGTTCTCTTTGATGAGAATGAATGGGAGACACCCTACAAGTTCAATCCTGGGCACTTTCTAGACAAAGAGGGCAAGTTTGTGCGGCGGGATGCGTTCATGCCCTTTTCTGCAGGTAAAGTGAGAGAAGAAACACACACAGAAAAGGACTTCACTAGGAATCATTCACAATACTGGTTAAAAGTTTGGGGTCAGAAAGATTTTTTTAAAGGACATAAGAGCAATTTTTATTTTATTTTATTTGCTGACATTATTCAGCAAGGATGCATTAAATTGATCAAAAGTGACAGTAAAGACATAATGTTACAAAAAGTAACTTTTTCAAATAAATGCTGTTCTTTCTATTTGTAATTTTGTGCCCTTGGCACTCCACATCAGACTATTGTCATTCCCTCACAAACTACATCCCCCATAACTCACTGCCCGGACTCTTCATCCATTATCACATTCACCTGTGTCTCAGTTTAGCTCACCCCATATAAGCCTGGTTTTCTCATTCATTATCGGCGAAGTCTTGTTTAGTGTTTGTACTGCATTTCCGAGGATTCTCCCTGGTTTCATTGTCTCTTGGTTTGGGATTTTTGCCTGTTTGTTGGATTCCCTTTTTGCCTCTGACCCCTGCTTGTTTGTTTGTTTATTTGGACTGCCTTCCTGTGCTTGACCCTTTGCCTGTGTTTGATTACGATTCTAGATTACTCAAATAAACTGCATTTGGATCCTTAACCTTTGTGTCTCAGAGCAGTTCGTGACACTATTCTACTTTCTATTCATCAAACAATCCTAAAAAATAGCACTGAAGGATCATGTGACTGAAGACTGGAGTAATGAAAATTCAGCTTTCATCAGTGCCATCACAGGAATAAATTAAAATATATTCAAATAGAATATAAACAGGTATTTTATATTCTAATAATATTTCACAATATTGCTGTTTCACTGTATTTTGAGCAAATAAATGTAGCCATAAAGAGCACAAGAAACATTTAAAAAAGTATTTACAAATCTTACAGACCCCAAACTTTTGAACAGTAATGCAAATGAAAGTCAAACCGACAGTCTGTGTATTATGAACTTATTTGAATGAATGCTTATTTACATTAACGTCTCCCCACTCTATCTCTCACAGGAAAGAGGGTCTGTTTGGGGGAGCAGCTTGCTAGACTGGAACTCTTCTTATTCTTTGTCAGTTTGTTTAGAAAATTTCGATTTTCAGCTGCAGAGGGTGAGAAACTCAACCTCGATGGAGTGATAGGAGTAACACGCAGCCCGCACCCCTACAAGATCCATGCAACGGCACGCTGAACAAATCATATTCACTTTGGGAATACTATTATACGATAAATAAACAATATTATAAACAATTATATTACACGTTTCACTTAACATTTTAAATCTTTGAGAAAGCAAATAGAGTTTACGGCCCTTTTTGCTAACTCGCTTAAATGCAAAAGTTCAGCCGTTCTTGTTTGTTTAAAGGGTGTGAGAGAAAACAGCTTAAGCTCCCATATATGAAACATGCATAAACATGCTTAGTAATGCCTAGTCTACAAAAACTACTAGACTAAAGGGCTGGATGAACATTGTCCTAGTTCCAGGTGAAAAAAAAAGAGAGAAAAGGTCAAGTTACACATTACAGAATCATCTACCCGTTGGCACATTTCAGATTGTGGGGTGAGGGAATGAAGTTCAAGTTTTTAAACAGATAATGCATAGAGAGAGGTATTAGTCAACAAAAAAGCAAGGTTTTGTCATGATAATAAATAATCCGAAATCCATAATCTCATGTCACAATATGTTTATATGCTGTGCCATTTTAAGACTGAGGAACTATTTCCTTGTATATTTCCTTGTATAGGCTCTATTTCAGATTTCAGATCATTAAAAACAAGCACTTCAGTGTGTGTTTGTGTAACACAGTATATTATAATATAATATATAATATTTTTAATGTTCATAATTTCTATTCAAGTTAAATTAGATCCGCAAATTTTGAAGAATTGTCTGTACTTTTAGCACTACAAGTGTCACATAGTGGGATTGCAAAAATAACTAGAATGTAGCAAGATACTAACACAATAAGCATGTTGCTAACACAATTAGCTAGCGTGATTAGCATGTTGCTAGCATCATGCTAGCATGATTACTCTGTTCTAGTATGATTTACTATGATATACCACGTTCTAGAATGATTTACCATGTTTCTGGTATGATTTACCATGATTTACCACACTGTAGTATGATTTACCATGTTTCTAGTATGATTTACCACGTTATTTAGTCAAAAGAGCCAACCCCCATCTCTATACCATGTTCTGATGCAGAGATATGGGTCTTGCTAAACGGTTGCTAGGGTACTCTGTTTGGTTGCTATGGAGTTGCTTGGGAGCTGCCAATGATCCAAAGGCTGCTTGTCAGTATGAATGATATAAACCAACTCCCATGCCTCTGTGACATTCTGAATGGAAGACATCCCTCTTTGTTTTTTGGTTGCCAAGGTGCTCGACAATGGTTCCTAGGGCAGGGCTAGGAAGTGTTGAGGTGATTCATGATTGGCTGTTTGCTGCCCCGAGTCAAACGAGACCACCCTCATGTTTCTATGACACTTCTATCCAGAGATATCCCTTTGATCTCTTTCAATGGAAGTCTATGGAACTTGTGGCAATGGTGCTCTAAATGGTTGCTAGGGCGTGGCTTGTTAGCTTCACAATGATCCTGAGAGACTGATTGGTCATCTGAGTAAAATGAGCCCGCCCCCTTGTATATCATAACCAGAGTTATGATCAATACAAAATCCCTATGCAATTTACCATAGTAGGAAAAACAAATGCGTTTCATGGGCCGACCTTCGCCATAGTAAGTCAATGGGGCAACTTTGGGCGCCTCTTGCCCCCCAGGGGTACAACTTTTACCCCATTGTGAGGTATGTTCTTACAGAGCCTGCCAGCCTCTTCAAATGTGGTAAATTACACCTTTCTACGAAATCCTCACTCAGAGCTATGAGTCGTCAAAGTTTTTCGCAATGTTAAGTCTATGCGTTTTTTTGGCCGCTTTTTCACCCCTGGGGCGAACACCGTACCCCTGATCGCTTATAAACCTCAGAGCACACCTCTCCTCCATAGGCCGCACGTTTTTACACCTCATTCATGGGTCTGTGACAAAAACTGCGGGAGGAGTAGCGTGCCGAAAAAAAAGTGGAAGAATAATAATAATAAGTATGAGCAATAACAATACCCTTTGGCAAGCACCCACTAATAATTAGGAAATATTTCATTTCGGAGTGAGAGGCGAGTAAAGACTTCAACACTGGGATCATTAAAAAGGCAAGAAGGTATTGCAAAACAGACTTCAGTTTATTCATCACGTGTAAATGAAGGCTGCCTGTGCTCTTTAACTCCAAATATTACTCTAATACCATATGAGTCCAATCTTTTTATTCAAAATCTCTCACAAACAATGACAGTGCTCATAAAATTGAGTTCACAAATTTAAGATTTCTTCCTTGGAACACATCATACATAAATATTAGCATTTCAAAATACATACGCATTTACCCATCACAGGCCAAAAAGCCTAGCTGAATAAAACACCGGAAAAGACAAATCAGAATTGCAATGATTGAGCTTACCCTTTAAAACAGAATTGATAGCATAATTATTCAAAACGCAACAGCTAGTCTATTAGCAGATAGCTCAGTCAAATCAACCGAAGCAGGGGCAGATTTTCACAACACAGCAAAAGCCATTTCACAATGCAGCTATGTTTCACTAGTCACGCATGTATTCTTTGAGAGTGGCGTACAACACATTCAAAGCCGTCACAGCAGTTTTCTATGGCCTGTTATAATTCTGTGCTGGTGTTCAAATCCTGATAATTCACACAGACAGGAAACGTTAAGTGGATAAAAAGGCCCTTCTGCTTGTTAAAAGAGCATGCAAGAGTCCTATCACAGTCAACTGAATATAAAATACTATGACTGGCTGAATAAAGCACCTGGATTTAAGATTGAATCAATTAGAGTGATTATATGCATGTCTTTTTTAATGTAGTTTTGTTGTCTGAGAAAGTCATTGTAATAGGAAGAAACAAACTAAGGAATCTGGTGTCCAGCACCAAATACATCTTCCTCCTGATCTAAGCATTTTGATTGGTTAGGGCAAATTGTGAAGTCTGCATACACTTTCAATGTTTTATACTGCATGTTGTACTTGCACGATTACAAATATATTCCACGGCTGCATAGAGTATCATTGGAAGTCATTCCTAGCAAAAGCATGCATGCTACCATTACAGGACCTGTTGATGCATCGGATGCATTTCTTCCCGCACAATCTGAGTGAGCATGACAAAAGATTGACCTGTGACCTTTAGTATCGATGCTGGTTCAGAAGTGGCCCTGCTGCAGACTGTTACAGGTGTTTGTTTAGTACTGAAAGTGAAAAAGACTGCTACTGTATATCATTGTGTGCTGATTGAGTAACCTTCTTCAGAGTTCAACCCCTTATGTACATTATTATACATACATGTGTAACTGTGTAGAGAGTGAGGGGACATGCTATTGTTCATCATGGCATGCTTGTCCCCTTGTTCAGAAGTGTACTTAAGGTCACTTGAGTGTGAACGTGAGAGAAAGGAGGAGAAGAGCAGGAAGTTGGGGAAGTACCGAGGACAAGGTTACTTGGAAGAAGTGGCAGGCACGTTGATGGGCATGGTGTGCCGTGCGTTGGTCACCTGACGTTGCTGAGCCAGGAAGGACTGGCCGGGCGGCAATAGAGAGTTGGATCGCCCACTAAGACGTGACTCGATTGCCATCTTCTGGAAGTTCAGACTCTGTATGTTTTGCACAAGACAAAACAACAACAACAACAACAAAAAAACACTGAACACAAGGCAAATCATTGCTGATTGATTTTTCAACAAACCAATAAAATGCTTAAAGGTGTTGTGTGAATGAGCAAAATATCGAAAGCCGGGTATACATTGTACGATATATAATAGTCCTTCCCGATTGTTACTTGTCAGACTTTACAAACATGATCACAGTTTAAAGCCATGCCACACTGTAAGATCTCAGATGTCAGTAATGTCAGACTGTACGACAGTCAAGACTCTTTAAAAACGGACGCATGCAAGAAGACTCGTCCGGAGTTTCACATCATTATTCTGTGACACGTTCTGTGACGGTGAGCTGCGTTCACATGTGGGATTGAAATGGTGGCAAGAAAACAAAAACAATCTCTAGCGTTAATTTTGATCATGGCTTGTCTTGAAAATAAAAAATAAAAAATAAAATTAAGACTGCTTATGGAGTGTGGAGCAAGTGGTGTTTTTTGATTTGACGGTCGTTTTAGGAGAAGCCACACTGCAGGACTGCCCCTCAAAAAACTTCGGACACTGGCAGAATTTCAGCTGAGGTCAAATTTGCACAGTGTGCACCCAGACAGAAAGTCCTTCTTCTGTTTAGCTAAATGTTTTTAATTTTTTATTGAAGTTTACAGAATCTACAGCGGTCACAGAGATATATATTTTAAGACATATTTTAGTTTTAAATATCAGGTAATAGGGATATTTTTACAGTGATTTTCCTATAAATATAATTATATTAGTGCTGTCAATCGCTAAAAAAAATTAACTAATTAATCGCACATTTTTCTGTAATAACTCGCGATTAATTGCACCTAACATTAAAGTTTTTAATATATTTTTATGTTGTAATACTTTCACATGTAATCTCCAAAATAATGTAGAAACAACATAAAGACAGCTATAAACTTTAACATTTAATAGGCTTAAAAAATATATAATAAAATGTAATCTAAGTGACCTTAAAACAATCTTCACATAAACCCATTGTAATAGTAATTTAGATGTGCCTTTAATATATCAGGGTTCAACACTAAGGTTTTTTTTCCCAGGCGGGACGGTTCAGAGTTTTACCATCCCTGCTAAAATGCACAAAAAAGTTATTGTTTTCGTTGTTTTTGACTCATGTAACCTTGTAAACAGTGCTTTAAGATTTTCAGGTAGGTCTAACAGGTAGGATTCATATAGAAATGTAATAGATATCAAACACAATCACAGTCTTAACTGCAGAAATTATGAGTTAAATATAGGCTAATTCTTATTAAAGCACAGTGATTTTGATTGATAAATCTTTGATTAACATTAATCCCATACAGCAGTGGGTTTATTAGGCTACTGTCACTTTAAGACCTGATGCACATGACACGGATCTGACACATCCTATTTTCTCACAACTCTTTGCGTTCATTTAACACTCTTTAACTCATTTAAGACTGTGCTTATGAGGATACTTGACAAAACAGGAATTTTGGCATAATTTTGTGTTTTTGTCCGTTCAAGCGTG